CTAGATAAGTACAGTCCATTTACCATTTCAACCTTTTCACAAGTTTCATGGCCACTGTAGTTTCTCATACACGCTTGAAAGGCTGAGGTGTCCTTTAAAGCTAGGCATGGTGGCTTTTACTGTTCATTAGAGTGAACATGTGTGATCCATCATCCAATTGCATAAATTCACAAAAATATTTATACTTTACTAATATACTTGATGAAACAAATTGAATTTGATGGTACAAATTGCAATAAATTTTTATTTAACAGCATACTCTAGCAAAGCTAATTCCCTTTTATTTGAACTGCTGCTGTTGGCTGTAAAAAGAATAAAAACTAAATTAAATTAATATTCAAATAAATTACTTTAAAATATATTTAAATTTGGAGATAATTGATGGTTTTACTTTTAGTTTGAATTGTGATTCATCAGCTTCCAATGTCTGCATGTACGCATGGTTTTAACATTGACATTTTGTTAGCCTCCTGACAATTTAGCTAATTTAGTAGATTAACAAAGCCAAAAGCTCAATAATATGTTGAGGTCACCATAATCTAAAAAACGAGCCTACCTTAACACTTTTAGTTTCAACATTACTGTCTTACTGTACATCCACACCACAGCATTATTTAAATGTTCATCTTTTTCTCTTTAATGGTTGTTTTATAGTTTTTGATACATCCGTTAACATAATTTGCCAAAAGCCAGTAATCCAGTGAACCTCCACAATGGAGCCAAATGTGATTTCTGGTTATCTCTGAATCATCTGCTAAGCCTCTTTTAAAACATAGTCAAGACAGCGATACATTAACAGCCTCAAATCAACCAAAAACTCATTTTACCAGTTTAAAGACCAAATATGATATATGATGTGAAGACATGCTACTAAGAACTTTTTCTGTTTTGTTTTGTAAATACAATGGTCTTCATAAGACCAAAATCTGCATTCACCATGTGATACAACTCTACCTTTCCTTCAGGGCAGCTCAATAATTTACCATTTGGTCAAGGACAACTTTTTATAAAAGCAACTGTTCTACTTCCAATATTCTATACACACATCACACACACCACACATATTTAGTTTAGAAATATCTAAGTATTTTGCTTTGTTTATTTTAGTTTATGAGATGTATAATGCTTTACATGACCCCTGTGGCTTTCTAAATTCAGCAGAGAAGATCAGATCATAACGTACCATCCTCTAGCCAACATGTGCTACTTGTAAATGCCACAGTAGCTCTGGAGTGCTTGTTTCAGCACAGCTTGTTTACATCTCTGTCAACAGTCTGTTGTAAGATGCCATCACAAATATAGTCATGAGCCAACCATCACTCAGAGCGGCAGCTTTTCAGCACATGGTTTATTTTAAGATCAGGTGCGACACAATACCACTCACAATTAAAATCAGTTTGAATGTAATTTCTAGTGCTTGTGTATCACTGCTGCTGAGCAAATTACATGCAATATTGTCACATGTAAAGATTAGTTGAGTGCTGCAGGAATGAATCCTAAAACCAGGAACTGAGTTAGCCTTTTAGCACCTCAAAGTTAGTGGGTTTCTTCAATGGGTTTTTGGTTAGATGCCTGAAATAAGGCCTGTACTTAAAACAAGCTTAAGAGGTATTTGTGATATGACATAAAATACATCAATAAATAGCCCATTTGTAAAAAAGGCAGTTGCTAACAAGTGACTAAGAAGAGGTTGTTGGTGACGTTAAACATTAGCACACCAAACACAGATACTTATCTACTCACTAGCACACCTTTACAGCCTCATTGTGTTTATACTTGCGCTCTTGCAAACTATTCTAACTCAAAGTTTAGATTTTAATTACAAGATTTATTTAGAAGTTGGAAGTTTAGCAGTGGTGACGCTGAAGTCAGGCAACTGTGTTGTTGTAGAACGATGATATTGGACAATTCAGCTAAACCCCACATTAACTTCAGTGACAACATACTATATGTTAATGACCAATGCCACCATTTAATAAGATTTATTTTATACAATATCAGAGCATGGTAACCACAGTATGGTTAAAGGGACACTTCATCCATTTGCATTAAGCTTTGTGTTGTTAGAAACCCAGTCATATTTTTGAATGGTCGTGCACCATTCCCTCATTTTCCCCTG